GGTACAATTACCTTACCAAAACCCATATACCAATTACTATACCAAATTTTTGGTATGATAAAATCTATTACCATTACCGTGTTGAACTTTCGGTCTACCGAATTTCGGCATGCTAAATAGTTCAGTTGACATGGTATGGTAATGGTAATTACCATTTTGTTTTGGGTCAAATTTTTTTTTTTTTTACAACCAAATTCAAGGGCCAAACGTGTTTTGACCACTCTCTTTGGCTTTCTAAAACTTTTTTATTTAATTATGAGAATTTCATAGAGATTCATTTAAGAAACAAAAGGTAAATAGATGGAAGAATTATTGAAAGAACCCAACATTCTTCAAAAAATAGTACAAAGATTCCTAAATTCCATTTCTACGTTCTAATGAAACAAATACGTGTTTAACGCAAAAAGCATTAAAAGGCATCAAAGCTACATGTACTACATTACAATTATCTCATGTTGATACAATGCATAAGATATTTCAGACACAAAAATTTTCATATAAATAAAACACCTCACTTGAACAATAACCGAGATTGTGGTATTTGGATTTGGATCCATATCATCTCACTTTTACTTTCCATTTTTTTTTTCTGTATCATACAGTAAACTGTTCAAATTTAGGAAAAAAAAAAAGAAGAAAAGAGAATCCACCATACTCTACAAACACAGTATCTAGTCCAACGATAATGCAAGTCTAGTTGCAAAAACTCACCAATCTGGCTTGTCTTCGCCTTCCAAATAACCTCAATGCAACCTTTCAGAGTTTTCATTCTTCTTCATTCCCCTTTACATCCGTAAACCGCAACATGAACTTTATATAAAAACCAATAAAACAAACTTAAAAATAAACATCCACTTGAACAAATTGGAGGTAATTGAAGCTATGTTTCTCCTCCTCAGTCTAAAATTACGAAAACATTTCAATGAACATATTAGCACTTCAAAAAAGTAAATCCTTTTGTTATCTATTTGAAAATTTGATAAGAACAAAAGGAACTACACAACTTGGTAATCCCTGTTTCTTTTTGTTCAAAATTTTCTAGGCATCCAAACACTGGCAATCTTAATCGCAAATGAACAAAGCTATAACATAAAGGTAGGTCTGTGGTAAACAAAAATATTTCAATAAAAACATAACTAACTCAAAGGGAACTACAAAAGTAAATCTTTGTTATCAATTTGAGAAATTGATAAGAACAAAGGGAACTACAATCTAATGATAGTTTTAGATTCCAAAATTTTCTGGGAAGCCAAACTCTATCAAACTCACATGATTCCGAAATTTTCTGGGCAGCCAAACACTATCAAACTCACATGATCAAAGAAATTGCTAATAACAACAAATGGGCAAAATTACTGAATACGGGTTCCTTAAAACTTACCTTACACACTAAAAAGACTCGATGTAGTTTCATGATTGATCTATATATGCATGAAACTTACGGAATCAACAAGGAAATATATTTGCCTCACTTTTATGTGCTCCATGATTAAATTGAAGATTTTTTTTTCTTTTAACAACAAAGTGAAATCATAGCAAATATAACGACTTTACTAGGTAAAAGTGATCAACATACGTACATAAAATTGCTGACTGCGTAAGTGCATGCATAACATGCAAGTGAACAAAAGAAAGCTTAGCCCTACTTTTTAAATGAGAGCAAATGAAATACTTAGGTGGCCTTCGGTAAGATTTATGCATTAGATTTATATACCAAAGTTGAAACAAGAACCATTCTCTTATATCTCTTTGCCATTTTCACCCCCACGTTATCCTATATAAAGTTCATAAGTCACTGTACCTAATTACCTACTCAATTATATAAATGCAAAGTAAAAGACAATGACACTTGGATATACATTAAGCACAACATTTGCTGCTGAATGAGAATCCATAACATGAAAGCTTCTACTATGCCAAGAATAATTCCATTGGAAAGAAAAAACATAAAATGAAAGTTGGAAACTTAACTACAAACAGGCATAGATTCGATATATATACTCACAAACCACAAATATAGAATCAAGGAACACAACTTTTCTAGGTAGACCTAGTTGCAAAACCAACAATCTCTACATTTAATTGCAGAATGGTTTTTGGTTTAAAATTTCAGTAATCCCGAATCAAATTTCAAACATTCTACGTTTAAAATCGAAATTGAACATAACTATAGTTGGAACAAATTTCACTAAAGGCCGGTAAACAGCCTAATACAAAATTTTAATAAAACCCATTACTCAAAAATCCAAATTTCATAAGAAAATAAAGAAAGAAAAACAAACTTACTAGTCGAATTGAAGAACTTAAGTCAAACGTAGTAGACAAAAATCCAAATTTCAGAAGAAAATAAAAAAAAACAGCAAAATCACTGTAAAAATCAATATTTTTTTATGCCTAGACTTCTCTTTGCTTAATTTTAAAAATTTTGTTCCCTACTTTGGATGTTAGTACTCTTTCAAAAACAATTTTTAATTCTCTGCCAACTATAGGCTGAGAAATGCTTTTTATTTACATATATAGTTGCACTATAAGTAAGCATAAAATCCTCTCGTATATAACAAAGGAAAAACACCCATATAACATAGAGAGTTCAATCTAGAACAGGGTCTTTCTCTGCATTCTTGATGGATGGTGATCTATATTTCTCCCAACAATCATCACTCTTACCGGACAAGGACTTATCTATACTGAGGTCGCCACTGTATAGTCTCTATTGGCATTCTGAATCTATAACGTGATACTATATAAAGAGATAATTACGCGTATCAGTCTATATTTGTTCAGGACGCCACATAGTTTCGGAGGTGTGCACGCAAAACTTGCCTACCTACTTGGGTTGTTGGGGGCTTCCCCCGGTTTAGCCTTCGTCCTTGTTTTGATTGGTTATTCCGGGTGTTTTTTTTTTCCAATTTTTTTTTTTTTTTTTTTTTTTGGAAACTGAAAATACATTACCAGGGCAAAGATGCTAGAGAACTACAAAGAAAGCCTACACCGAGGCCAACAAGCAAGAAAGCAGCAAAAAAAACACAGCAGCGAAGGGGATCAAAAGAAAGACACTAGAACCGAGTTCTAGCGTCGCCCCTTCGACTACCATAATAGTTCAAGGGGGACAAGGTAAGCCATCTTTATTAAGCACATGAACGAACGAAGATGGAGGCGGTTGACACAAGTGAAATTGCTCATCTTCGAGTTGCTTTGCGACGCCCAAGTATCCGCTGCCATATTGGCTGATCTTGGAACCCAAGACCAGCTACAACCCTGAAAAGACTCCCTAACTCACTTAACAGTCAATAAGGGAGGAAAGGCTTCCTATCTGCCATTTTCCAACGAAGTTGATAAAGATGAAATCGAATCCTTCGAATCAGATTCAATGATTACCAACGGTGGCCCAAAGCAGCAGCCAGCTCACATCCTTGCAAAATAGCCAAAGCTTCGGCCGAGGCAACATTTGGAGCCTGGACCACATACCGTGCCGCAGCCATGAACCTACCCATCGCACCCCTAATCACATCCCCACAAAACCATCCCGCGATGAAACCGACCAACTAGCATCAACATTAACTTTCAGGAAAGGGGCCATAGGGGAGACCAATGTGCAGCAGAAGCATCCCCCGTGAAGATAGCTGGGAGAGAAAGAGGAGGATCACCAGTAACTTCCAGAAACACACCAGAAGAATCTGAAATTGCAAGAACCTCGGTAGGTAGAATTGGAGTTTGATTAAACAGAAAATTGCACCTCACTTTCCAAATATGCCAACAAGTAAATGCGACATGAGAAAGCAAAAGACCATACTCCTCCTTAAACTTGAACCGCCGAGTAGCAATGGAATGAAACCAATCCACCCATGAAGCAAAACAAAAACATTAAATAACAGCCCTACAGGTATTTAAAACAAAAACATTATAATATGCTTAAAATGCATCTTTCATTATTTCTACACTAAACTAAAGCATCCTTGGTTAAACCATTAATTATCAACTTTACTGAATCGCTAAAACCAAACCAACAACCACACAAAATGTGGCCAATATGAAAACTCTAAATGCCAGTAGGTTTCTTTTCTCAAACAATTAGCCTCTTTCTCCAACACAGTGTGACCTTGGCTAGAATCAGAATAGTAGGACCTAACTACCATTCACCTTCCATAGAGAATTACGAGTGACTTTAATCCCTAGAGGATGAAAAAACAATTCCAAGCAACCAAAAAGAGTACCTATCTTTTGGGTGTCCACCCAGTGTTCACAATGCAAATATACAAGATTCAAAACAATAAGCAAGACCAACTTACAGACTGGAAGAATGTAATACCCGAATCGGAGTCAATCTCCAAATAATGGCATCAAAGTACATGTTGTGGGAGAACTTAAAGGTCTTACATGGTGCTTCCAAACCAACTTATAAGAAGTAAAAGAAAGATCAAAGCCGAATACAAAATCCTATTACCTCGGAGCACAAGCCGGGTAAACTAGATTACAATTAAATTTTCTTCTAATTCTACCGTGGTTGACCAAAGAACTTAAATTTCAAGACAAACCCACTAAAATGATGAATTCAAGAGTAAAACATACCTCCAGAGCAGTGATTAAACCCAAATTCTACCACACCTAACATAAATTCAAGAATTTGAGTCAAAATTACTCTGAGAACCAATAGATTACACAATGGAAGAACAAAGGTACTTTAAAACCAAAACTGAAAAACAGATAAGCAAATTCAACTTAGCTTACCACTGCTATCAGAGAGCTCGTAGTCCATCACCGCTCCTCAAAACCAAGACTTTCGCTAAAAACCTAGCAAACCCACGCCAAAAGTCGATCAATTTAGCAAACCCACGTCGAAAATTTGATCAGTTTAATCAAGAACTTGAACTTGCACCCACTAGTACCCTCCAAAACAGATCAATTCGCCGAATTTTACCTAATTTCAAGAACAGTGCGGTCCCAAAACCTTATAGAAGTTGAACCCATATTTGAGGCGTCAATAGTGCACACAATCAAGCATGGAGTAATTTTGAATCTTTAAGGAGTCAAAAGTAACATATCCAATTTTTTTTCTCTAAAACGCATGATGAAGCTCGAATTCAATATAGAGCTCGGTTGAATGCATCAATTGATTGTTGTTGATTTCTTTTGAGACAAGGATTTGCATTTCGTGGTAATGATGAATCTGAACATTCAAGCAACCATGGAAACTTTCTTGAGCTTCTACAGTTTCTTGCCGACCACAATGAGGATGTGAAAGCTGTTACTTTGAAAAATGCTCCAGAGAATCACAAATTGACATCACCAGATATTCAAAAAGACATTGTAAATGCTTGTGCAACTGAGACCATCAATGCTATTATTAAGGACATTCGCACTTCGTTGTTCTCTATTTTAATTGATGAATTTCACGACGTATCAACAAAGGAACAAATGACTATTGTATTGCGTTATGTGGACAAGAATGGGCATGTCGTTGAGCGTTTTATTGGCATTGAGCATGTTACTAGTACCGCTGCTCTCTCACTCAAGGAAACCATTGATGAGGTATTTTCTAGACATAAATTGAGCATGTCTAGGTTGCGTGGGCAAGGTTACGATGGGGCCAACAATATGCAAGGTGTGTTCAATGGTCTTAAAGCTCTTATTATAAAAGAAAATGGCTGTGCCTATTATATTCATTGCTTTGCACATCAACTTCAATTAGCACTTGTAGATGTGGCAAAGAAGAATATCCAAATTGAGTCTCTTTTTAGTATAGTTACTATTTTGGTAAATGTTGTTGGAGCTTCATCGAAGCATTGTGATCTTCTTCGAGAGAAGCAATCTATTGCAATTATTGAAGCACTAAACAGTGGTGAGTTTACAAGTGGGAAAGGCAAAAATCAAGAAACTACTTTGAAACGTGCTAGAGAAACACGGTGGGGTTCACACTTTGGTACTTTAGTAAGTATAAGGACTATGTTTTCATCCATACTTGATGTACTTGAAGTAATAGCTGATGATAGAGTAAGCTCTCAACAAAGATGTGAAGCAAATCATTTATTGGATTCCATGCAATTATTTGATTTTGTGTTTAATCTACACTTGATGAAAGATATACTAGGAATAACCAATGAATTGTCACAAGCATTGCAAAGGAAGGATCAGGATATTGTAAATGCCATGAAGTTGGTTGGAGTTGGTAAGCAAAGGTTGGAGATAATGAGGAAAAGTGGCTGGGATTCTTTACTTAGTGAAGTCTCAGAATTTTGTCTTAAACATAATATTGATGTGCCTAATAAGGATGATATGTTTCTTTCTCGAAGGCGAGGGCAACGAAAAGCACAAGCAGTCACAAATATGCATCATTATCGTGTTGGGATATTTTATGTTGTTTTGGATTGGCAGCTTCAAGAACTAAATAATCGTTTCAATGAGACCAACTCTGAGTTACTTCTTTGTTTGGCATGTTTATGTCCAGTCGACTTCTTCTCTGATTTTGATAGCCAAAAGCTATTGCGTCTTGATCAGTTTTATCCTAAAGACTTCTCTATGAATGAGCTGGTGATACTTAAAGCTGCCAATGCAAAAAAATGGTTCAATGCAAAAAACACAAGGTGTATTCGTTGGTTTACTTGCTTGTGACATTAGCACTAACTCTTCCAGTTACTACTGCAACCGTTGCAAGAGCATTTTCGGCCATGAAAATTCTGAAGAATCGATTAAGAAATCGGATGGGAGATCAATGGATGTATGGTAACATGCTTATTTTTATAGAAAGAGAGATATTTGATGGTATTGGTAATGATGTTGTCAAGCAACGCTTTCAGAACATGAAAACGCGTCGAGGGATATTGTAAGGGACTGTTGTATGAAAAACTTTCTGGATTAATATATAAGTATTGTGTTTAGTAAATTCTTGAGCTTTTTAATTATGACTTTTTTGTTTGAAGATGTCCCTATTCATACAAATCTCTGGCTTCGTCCCTGTTAGGAGGAGGAAATGTTGCTCATTGTTTACTTGGACTTGGATATTGCTGTGGAAGTCAGAAGTAGAGGTTAAAAACTCGGGGCAGTCCAGCACATGCAAGTATTCCAATGAAGGGCACAAAAGAGCACTTCCAGCGAGTACGCTTGTCAGCTTTGAAAGACTTTGCAATGCAAAGTTCTTCAGTTGTGGAAAAATGATCTCGTCATCCTGCACTATTAATCCCTCGCTTAGGCCGAAAAGTTTGTCCAAGCTATGGCATTCCTCCGCCCAAAGTTCTTCCAATTGCCGCAGACATTGAGCTACGTCGAATGTGAAGAGTGTTGTCAATTTATTGCACTTGGAAATCGCCAGAGTTTTAAGGTTATGGAACATTGCAGGCTGAACAGGACCGTTCAATATGTTTGTCAGTTCCGGTAGATTCTCCAGTTTCATCTCTCTCAGTTTTGTCAAGACTGTTTCTTCTTGTTCAAGCCCTTGAGATTTGAATATATACACCATACCAGTGGCACATACAATTAGTACTTCAAGATTTTGTAGTCTCTGCAACAGATTAGATGGAACAGGCGCATCAGCCACACCTTCACACTGCTCGACCTCCAACAGCTTGAGATTTCCAAGCGACCCCTGCAGTAATTCACCAACACATAACTGTTGCAAGCGGTCCCAGTAGAAGACATGCAACTCTTCCAAGCTCTTGAGCACAGGCTTATTTGGAACCCTAGTTTCTGTGTTCATTAAAGTTACCATCTCACGGCACTTTTGGAGATGCAAAAACTTGAGTCCATGCAACTTCCCATGATTGTACTCCACAAGAATGTCAGTTAAACTTCTAGGCTCCGTGTAGATTATTTTTTCCACTCTCTCCGTCACTGTGCTGTTAAACAAATCCGGCAGCATATTGATTGTTGTGTCCGGAAGCAAGGCTCTTGAAAATGGAGAAATAGTATTCTTTGATAATTGCACATTCATGGAACGATAAAATGGGTTTCTGCTGATATATATATAAAAATTTCCCCAATTTCGAAGGAACCCTACATTTTTTGGAAGGCATTCTGCATCAGAAATGTCAACCTTCAAAATGTTTAAGAAAGACAAGCTAATTAGCTCATCAAAACTAGCATTAGTTTTGTCATCTTCTCCTTCAACTTTCTTGCCCCAGTCAGCGAAACTCTGTTGCATGCATAGTTCTTCTAATTTGGACAGCCGCGATAGCACATTGGATGGAATTGTTGCAATGTAGGTACTCATAGTGAGATCCAACATCCTTAAATTGGTCAACTGTCCAATTTCTTCTGGCAATTCCTCAATAACAGATTCTCTCATGCTAAGAACCTCCAGTTTTTTCAGTTCTCCGAGAATTGATACATCCGTTATTGACTGACAACAATCTAGATGCAGCGTTTGGAGCTTGGTTAAGAGATTAAATGATGAGGGTAATGAAGAAATTTCGGTACTACTTATGTCGAATACCCTTAATGCATTTGGGCTTTGGAAAAAATCTTCTGGGATCTCCTTTACTTCAAAATTTGACTGTAGTAATAAAATCCGGAGTTTTGGACATACCAACTCGTCAGGAAGGTTGCAGATTTCATTCCCCATTAGGGAGATTGCGGAGTCTTGCCCATCCCCAGATGATGCAATTAGTATTGCAATGTCCCGAATCACATTATGCATTCTTACACATCCTTGTTCACCATCCAAAACCAAGCTACAAGCTTTAAGGTACTTGGCCACCAAATGTGCTGTGCTTCCGGCTTCTAGCATTGAGTTGGCATGTCGAAACAATCCTTTCCCAATACCATACTTCATCAAGTCTTCGATTTGGATATCAGAGTCCTCCGGGAATAAGCAGCAAAGTAAGGAAAATGACTTGGCGTCACTGCCATTCAAGTAATCATAGCTCGGCTTTATGCATCTAAGCACATCCCCTTCGTCATCAAGGTTGGTAGTTTGGGACATCTCTAGTCTGCTGCTTCTCTCCATTAATTCTTCCAAGTAATTGGGAGACCACCACATTCTCCAGCTACCTTCCTTGCTATGTCATAGAAATTGGTTGATTCAAAAGACCTGTTTGCCATTTTCACAAACAAGGCCCAAGAATCTTCTTCTGATAGGATATCAAGATGAATCTTTTCTTCACTCTTCATGGCATGACATACATTCCATATCCTTGTGGTGATTAGAACTTTGGGATTGCAGTTTTGGAGCTCGTAGTGATCGGGGATCCCTATGAGAGACAAATCTATTGTCTTCCAAATGTCGTCCAAAATTGTAAGGATCTTTTTTCCTCTCATTATTCTCTCCTTCAATCTGGCTGCTCTGGCTATTTCTGTCTGCTCATTCAAATTCAAAGCCAGCATTTCTGCAAGCTGTTGTTGAAAGGGTTTTGGGAAATGACAGCCATAATCACATGATCAAAGAGCTTTCCTTTATTCGCTTGCACACCTACATGTTTCACCATGGTCATCTTGACTATGCCTCCCATTCCATAGACCGCAATGACAGTGATGTTATCGTCTTTCAGTGCCTTCATGACCCCATCCATGGCTTGCCTTGTTGCTTCAAATGCTTTGAAATCTCCTGTTGACATGGTGGACTCAAACTCAACGGGTTGGTTAACTTGAAGCGAAAATGTTTCAAACCTTTTCTCTTCTTTAAGCTTGTTCATTTCTTCTGCCTCCTTAACGGCTCTCTTGCTTAAACTGTAACGCCATTTCAAATTCGGACAGCAGCCTCCGTGGCATGTTTTGTCTTCTCCGGTTTCATTATTCAGTCTTTTCGCATCGATTATTGCCTTGTCAGCATCCTTGAGCCATTTTTGAACCACGGACTTAACTTCGTCTCCATTCATTAGCGCCGCATCCACTTCTCGCTTGTAATCATTCTGCATGGCCGACCAGAACTTCAAGAGACTGCATGTGGCTCTTGTAATGCACCAAGTAACCCACATTACGCTTCACTGGAGTCCATAACAACTTACCAACTTAATTCTAGTACGAAACTAACAATTTCCATACCTGTCCTTTTTTTATTTTTAATTAACAGAGAAAAAAAGTTGTAAGATTCAAAGTTCAAACAATAAAATAGGTACCACCAAAAAGGGAGAAAAACTATGTAGGGATTTGATAACTAGATGATTAACCTGGTTCTTCCTTAGCTTCAACTGGTACAGACTTTGAGAACGTTTTTGTACGTTGGACGAATGTCAATTATGAGAGGATGGTTAGGCCTGGTTCTGATGATGTCTGATAACAGAAAAGGTAGACGAAGGATCAGCAGAGAAAAGAATCCAACTAATATTTTAATGGTTTGTATTTTTTGGAGAGGACTGGGATTAAATTCGATACGCTTTCATGCGTCTCTAATCATGCTTTTTATTTTGAAGTTAAATTAAAGGGAGATTTTAGATGAAGTCCCTAATTATTAATATTTTCTGATTGAAACTTTGTTAGTTTTTAATTTTTGATCGAAATCTCTGAAATTAAAGTGATAATTTATTTCTATGTATGTTACTATATTTTTAAATTAAAAATTGAAATTTATAGTTGTTTATATTAATGAGATTTTAAATAAAAAACCATAATTTGTGGGATTAAAAATATTAAAATATAAATTATACTATTGTGTGTGTGTATATATATAAACATGAGTACATTCATCAAAACTAGCCAAAAAATTATTGTACCAAAACATGGGTACATTCTTCAAAAAACACACAAAAAAGAATAAAAAGGAAATTAGGCTTATTAACATTAGTAAATTTCTTCGACTAAACTTGACATGGATTGTGACATCCCACATCGTCCAGGGGAGTGGATCCTCCTAAGCCTTATATGTATATTCCCATCTCTATCTAGCACGAGGCCTTTTGGGAGCTCACTGGCTTCGGGTTCCATCGGAACTTTGAAGTTAAGCGAGTTCAGGCGAGAGCATTTCTAGGATGGGTGACCCATTGAGAAGTTCTCATGTGAGTTCCTAGAAACAAAACCGTGTGGGCATGGTCGGGGACCAAAGCGGACAATATCGTACTACGGTGGAGTCGAGCCTGAGATGTGGTGGGGGCTCGGGCCGGGATGTGACATGGATACATTCTCAAATAAAAAATAAAAAAAAGAATGTACCCATATAAGTTTAAAAATGGATTAGAAAAAAATTGAATAGATTATATATATATATATATATATATATATATATATATATATATATATAAAAGGGTACATTTTACATATAACAAATTGGTATATTTAAGAATGAGTACATTTTAAGATTAAAAATTTGAAAAAATTACATGAATGGGTACTTATAAGATTAAAAAAATGAAAACATTTTTTAAAAAAGCTAATGGTACAAACTTATTCTAATTTTTTATTTATTTTGGAAATGTTTTGAATTGAAAATTAGTTAGGTGTTTAATAAAGGTGTGAGTATTGAAATTCTAAATCAATTATTAATTTTTATTTTAAAAAATTATGTAACAGACATGTAAATTCATTATTACATTAATACTAGGGACTTGAATCAAAATTTGAAAACTAATAAGGTTTCAGTCAATGAAAATTAGTAACTAGAGACATGATACTAATTTTTCCTAAATTAAATTTTAGCTAAACTTCAACTCAACTTTTTAGTTGTTCGTTAATTAAAAAAAGGGCAGTTTAGATCTAGGTATAAAAATCCAAGTTGTTATTTAAATTGAGTCCAATTGTAACATACCTATAAAATAAAAAGATTACAAAATTTTTGAAACGAAATATGTTTGAGATAGAGTTGAATACCTTTTCTTGGCACATCCGGATATTAGAACAAGGCTTAAAAGCGGCATACGCGGGGGTTACCCCATTTATGATATAGGTAAATTGTCGACAAAAAATCTACGATATGAGTAAATAAGTATTTTTATGAGAGTTCTAGGGACTAGATGCCGTTAGAACTTAAAAAAAAAAAAAAAAAAAAAAAAAAAAAAAAAAAGTTTGTACAGTGATTATAATTTGGGGTGCGTGATAACTATTTTTCAAGTATTTACAACCAATAAAAAATGATATCTATAAGAATAATCTATTTATAA